TTATGTATACTGGGTGTTTCAATTTCGATCCTCACCATTGGGATCTTGGGAACTATAAGAAATACAGAGATGGTTATATTGGGGCAAAGTTGCGCATTTACCTAACTAACAATATGCCGTTCAGAAAGTTTCGAAATTCCTAGTATGACCGGAGATATCCGGAAAAAAACGAAATTTTGGAAAATCGATTTTATTTCTTTATTTATTATAGCATTCCAAAATAAATCGCATTTTTGCACTGTCATTTATTCTTTTCTACATGATGGTGCTTTCAGATTTGCTAACCGACGTTTCGTCTCTCGGCCACCATCATCAACTTTATACATATTGGATTTTTTTCTGACGGCACCATCATATAGTAGAGAAAAAAAGACAATGCGAAAGTGCGATTCTTTTCAAAATCCTACAATAAATAAAGCTAGAAAAAAATAAAACCTATATTCCAAAATTTCTGTTTTTTTTTCGGATATCTCCGGACATACTTGGAATTTCTAAATTTTCTAAACGGCATATTGTAAGTTAGGTAAATGCACAACTCTGCCCCAATTTATCTTCATTTCCCTTATAGTTTCCGAGATCCCAATGGTGAGGATTGAATTTGAAACACCCGGTATAATTAATTATATATTACATAATTTGAAATTTCAAACCCTATGCAATAGGAGAAAAATAAAATCACTTATCCTTCTCACTCCACTATTTACATCACAGGATAACCCTGAAATACAAAACATAATTGTTGGTTGATAAATTATATTGAAAAATTGAAGAACATGGAATCATGAAGAAATGGAACCCAACTTGGTACACGAAAATATTGCAGATTGAAAAACGGTATTTATAAAATTTCCAGACCATAATAAATACCTGAATCAACGTAAATTCGCCTTTCTCTACTGAGACAGTTGAGAAAGAGATCTAGACAGAGTAGAAAATGTCTTATTCTGTATGAAAATTGTTCAAAAATAAGATACAAATGACAGGAAAATGCGAAGTATATTCATCAGTTCTACCAACCCTGATCTCACGTTCCAGTGGCGCGTTCTGGTGGACAATAAATATAATGTGAGTATTCTGTGTAGAGGTAGTGATAGTGGACAAAAATTTACTATCAAAACTATCGATAGCGGACAAGTCGACTATCAAAACTATCGATAGTTTACCGTTGTGAAAAAGCTGGACTAATTTGATGAATTCTTCTCAAATGGTCACGCAGGTTACTAGTATTGCCACTTGTTTTATACTTCTTTTGGTATATAGACTGGTTTGATATATTCATTAGTGGAAAATGGCTGATTTAAGTTCAGATTTCCCAAGTGATATAGAGGAAGCATCACAAAATGTACTATTTTCATCCATATTCTTATTCGCCATAGAAACTAACACGTCGCCCCACCTGACGGCAGCCACTTGAACACTTCTGAGCGGTTTGCTTCGATGATATGACCAATAAGCACATTATGACAACAAAGTAAACATGCCGCTTTGACCAAGCTTTGACAGCTTTCAAGAACTCCCGATAGGTGGCGTACGCTTATTTTCTATCGCGAATTATGTAACTGATGTTGAAATGTTTTGAAAGTGTCAAATTACATGTCATGTAATGCAATCTTGTGTGAGACTGAAAATCCTGAGTTTAAAAATATTCACCACACAAGAAATAAAATAAATATGTCACTTTTGCTCTCCATATAAACTGATGAAAAAAATATATTTTTATTGTTAGGACTGCTTACCTTTACTAATCCGTATATACAATGTAGTCTGGATCGGCTACTTCAACTTGGACAAAAGGTTGCTGTATCATCTGTATACTATTTGATGATCTTTGCATATTATTTCTTGATCTAAAACAAGAAAAATGAAAGGTAATTTCAGTCACCAAGTTATTTACCGTCAAAGTTCACTTACTTGGCTTTGGCATGTGTTAAAATATGACTCTTAAGATTAGTTGACTGGGCAAATTTTTTGTTGCATCCATCAAATGGACATACATAAGGCCTATCTCCCGTGTGTATTCTAACATGAGTCCTGAAAATAACAAAAGGCTATCAACAAACATTGAATGGAATGAATTTAGTAAAAAATATATTGGGCAAATAAGACACAAAATATGAAGATGAATCAAAGAACACATTGCTGTTTGTCAGTCATTCAATATTGAAAATCAAGTGTGGCCTACAATATTCTTACAGGTATCTGATTAATATAATTTCAATTAATATCCTCATTGATAGAAAATCAATTGTATAGGGGGCATAGAAATGTTGTCATACATTTCCTTTTGATTTTGAAGCATTTTATTATGTGAAGCACTGCCTGTCTTACCTATGTAAAAACATACCTGAGATTAAAATCTAAACTAAATCTCTTTCCACATCCTTCAAAAGTACATTGAAATGGTTTTTCCCCTGTATGGACCAGCTGATGTCTTTTGAGTTTACTGGATTCCACGAAAGCCTTGCCACATTCTGCACATACATGCACTCTAGGCCCATGGGTGTGTAGATGTTTCCTCATTGCTGAATTGTCCCTGAACATTTTGTTACAACCCTTGTGAGGGCAAGCTAAAAAAATAGAGATAACAAAAACTGGTATTCAACATAGATCATCTTACCAATTGTTCTGTCTGTGTTATCTTGGTTTGGTCTTCGAACTCTAATGCTTTTCAGTCCAGGTCTGGCAAATTCTGCTAGTTGTTTTGGATCAGACAAATCTAGTCCTGGTATACTGTCCGTGGAGAGTTTTTTGCCAGTCATGTATTCTGTATAGTCAGGATCTGGTTCAGGATTCGATCCTTCATCTATGTATGGCATATAAAAATATAATGTGTTATTTTGAAATTGATAGGTAAATTGTGGAATATCAAATGAAATACATGATGTATTTTTTTGCAGCATGCTATTTTTTGCATGTTGAAAAATAATGGAAAAGTTACCCTTGACTGGATTGATATTTTTATGTTTTATCTCATTGGTAATTTAGAATACTGTAGACAGATATGAACTCAAAAATTATAAATTAGAAAATATACACCTATTTTTGAATGTTTAGGAATTATTTCTTTTTGTTTGTTCATTTGATCTGCATGAATCCATTCTGTATGAATTTTATGCATCTGTATCAAAATTTTAGTTTGTATCCTCAATTACAGATCTCAATCCTCATGTTTGTCTTTATTATCTGAGGATCAGAAACAAAAAGTATTAAGCAAAAGCAAAGTTGATGGGATTGATTTGATGATCCACAAAAATATATTAGATAACAATGGAATCCAAATCATTCTTAAAAGCCAGTCATCTACCAGTCAAGGATAAAGACAAGAGTAGCATTATGTTATTTTTTACATATAAATCATGAATAGATTACTAATAATCCATTAAAAAAAAACTGATGATTATTTTGTAGTTATCATCAGTTCTACCAACCTTGGTCTTGAATCGGTTAAAGCGACATCTATGGGAATTGTTTGGAAGTAAATGAAACTAAATGTTTGGTTGTCCTTGAAATATACGGTCATGGAGCATGGAGTTTTGATTGTATTTTTGGCTTTTTTTAATATCAGATTTATAATGTTTGCAAAATACTCTTATATCGATTCTTTTCATGATGCTGAATCAATCGTTTGAAGTTAACTTTTATTAGATAATGAATAAACCTACTATAATGAGATTGTCATTTTTTCATAGAACTGCCACAGCCACAGCCGCCACCCATAATCGGCCATTTAAAAATATGGCAGATTTGTAGTGATGGCTGCTTTGAATCAAAACAAACTTTGAGTGGCTGGAGTGCACAGTTTCCACAAAATTATTAATTCATTATCAAATCTTAATCTATTCATTATTTAATGATATGAATAATGATTGTATTGAGTGAGTAATCAGTGACTCGTTTGACCTTGGCAGAAATAAATCAATTAGATATTTCCAATGGAAAACTACGACCAAAACTTTGGAGCCAGATGTTCCTTATAATTTGTACTTACCATCACTAGTGCCCGAGGCCCACATGGTAACCGAAAATTCACCTTCCATTGTTTTGATTTGAACCTGTTTTTGTTCCCATTTTCGAGGTTTTGTTTCAACGTGCATGTCACTGAGCAAAATTTCGTTTTCACGACGTGAAAGAATGCCGCGGTTTTTCATGGATTTTCTCCTTTTTGACGGCCCCGGAGAAGATTCTACATATAAATCGGACGAATCAGGTACCGGAACATCATACAAATTTAAAGGGTCCCCCGAATCGTCTATTATCTCTTCTTGAGCCTCCAAAATAATGTCCCTGCCTTCCAAAGAATGCATGGACATTATCTGTTCCCCGCATTCTACAATTGTTTCGCAATGATCGTTCATATCCACGGGAATTGCCTCGATTTCAACGCATTCTTGTATATCCGGTTGAATTTCCACCTCGCACATGATATTTTGATGGTCCGCCATAACTATGGCTGCTATATTGTTTATAAAAAGATGGACGAACAAATATGGCCACTCGCACACAACAATGGCGGACACTGAAACTGTTCGACAACACCAAAAGTGACGATTGGAATGGGACAAGTTCAAGGATATGCATGAATCAACGAAACACTGTAGTTCTTTTGTCTCCCTTACTTGCTTATTACAGGCTAGGGAGTTGATAAAGATGGAGATATTGAGACATATGTCGACTGAAATCATAAAATAAAAGTTTGGCTGGCGCCATCTGGATTAACATTTATGAAAACTATTCGGGGTTTTGAAAAATGATAACAGAACTCTGTATCCGTTTTTATTATTAATAGAATGTACAGGAATATTTATCATAATCAGCGTACTCATAATGTATTATTTAATTTGATTCGAACATAAAAAATGAAAGGATGGGCCATTTAGGACATTTGCTGAATAAACAAGGGTACGGAAGTTAGCTCAAAACACACAAGACTAATCCCATGGGTATGTTGAGCTGTTGATACTTCTTTACTTTGGACTTGAAGGCCTTGAAGCCACCACATTGTTGTATTCATTTTATTCATAATCAATCTCAAACAAAAAATATTCAGTCAAATATAAAATTTACAGCCTAGGAATAGTATAAAATGAGAATACCTAATTTACATAAATATACATATATGTATATAATATCTATAAAATCTATATATTTCACATTGAAATAAAATAAATAAATTGTTATATATTATGAGGAACTCAATGATGGTGTCCTGCTGACAGAAAGAGTGGGCATAGACAGCCCATGACTAGAAAAAGTAGTTCAATGGTTTTCAGTCTAGAACTGGCTGAATTTTGTTTGGCAGACTCGATTTGGGGAAGGGCATCATAATTGTGAGTGTGTGATCCTTGGGTTATATCTGCTAATACATGAACAGTAGCGACATAGAGGAATGTACCGGCAGAAAACAGCATAGCTATACCTGCAAATTGAAATCATTTACTACATACTACATAGCACATCAGTTTATAGCTACCATATTGATGGAAGTAAGAAAGGTGTCTATTTTCATCATGGAAGTAAGATATGGTGTAATTACTGATGCGCTTTTGTTTCAGAAATTTTACTTGACCTCTCGATAACAGCGAGAGCAATGGTTCCGTCGATCTTCCGATAGATGGCGACATTGCACAATTATAACAAGGTTGGTAGAACTGATGATTATTTTGTATTATTCCTATACGAATTATAATCAGTTCTACGAACCTTGAATTATAACATCTGTCAGTTTTGAAATTGTCGCAGATTTTTCGAATTTGATAGTTGAATAATCCCACTTTTACATACATCGACGGTGGAAATGCAATAACACGTATCTACTTCCCCAAGAATTTTATAGGAGCAACCGAAAACCTCCTGGCGGGATGTTTAGCGATATTTTGATACCGAAGTTGTTTCAAGAATGATATTACATATCAGGAATATTATTGCAAATGAAGAAGCAACGAGATTCAGGACGAAGTGACATTTATTGCACATACGTGTTATTGCACTTAGTGAATGAAACCAAGATATGATACTTAGGTGCTATTGCATTTATTTTTTTAAGAATAAAATTGAGTTCTTGAATGAAATCAAAAATGGGAAACTCATGGAAAATTAAATCTGAACGAATATAAAACAAGGAAATATAATTCAACATGCATAACGTGTTCATTTTTATGGCACATTATTATAAAATGACCAACATTATTGTCTCAACACCATCAGTGTACTGCTTCCTCGATAGATAGGTATCACTCGAGAAATCTGAACTTAAATAGGCATTATTCACTAATGAAAATATCGAACGAATCTATTTCGTTGATTTCGCCGCTGATTTGTGACTATTATTGTTTGACGAATAGGTACTTCAAAGTGACTTAACACATTGATTGCCAAGCCCATATCTGGAGTTTATCCCACGGGGCCAAAGGTACATTTTAGTTCCATTCATGAATTTTCACTTCCAAAAATCAAGTTTGACCCTCAAAAGTCATTAATGATTTTTTTTTCATCCATTTTGTTTGTTTTTCGATGTCATTCATATATGAATGACGTGGCCTCCCATGTTAGCCTAAAGAGTTATTTCACCACGCTGGGCCACGTCATTCAAATATGTATGACGAATATGATGATTGTTTTTTTTCTACTAGCGTGCGAAAAAAAAACACTTTTCCGCACCCATTTCAGTGTTGAAAGAGTCATTTTTCCGCACTAGTGCGGAAAAAACTCTCCACAGTGAAATGAGTGCGGAAAAGAGGAATTTATTTTTCCGCACGCTAGTAGAAAAAATAGTGTACCTAACACATGCGGAATAGTATCACTTTCCGCACTTGTTAGGTAAACAACTATTTTTCATTATTATGTAATATTAGTTTTACTGTTTTTACGATGAATAAACCTTTTCATATATGATTTTTGTATTTTATTGTCTTGCATCACGATCTATCAAAATTTGCTCTGGCCAAATATGCCTGTGACTTCCTTGGAGGCCACACATTCATATCTCCATCTGAATTGCATTGGCTATCATTCATATTCGTATGACACGGCCTCACAACAAAAATATGTCGTCATACATATATGTATGACGCGGCCTAAACGGAAGTGGTAGTGTCATTCACATATGTATGACGTGGCAATCAATGTGTTAAGGAAATAGGAAGTTAACTTGCCTACTATATTTTGTAAATAATCGGTAAAACTCATGTAGAACCAGTTATTTTTTCTGTTCAAGCTAAATTTTTCAGAAAATTCAGAAAAAATATTGCACGTTAGTCCAATCGTTTTACAAAATAACGCGTTTACTAACTGGTTACGTAGGTATCTATTCCATAATGCCTTAAATTTCCACGTATCTACGTTCAGATATTCCAGGTCAGTGAAAACGGGAATTTGCAATACCACGTAACTACATAGTGGTAATTCAAAGACTCCCAAACAAGTTTTGATGAAACAAAATCAAAAATCAAAAACCAGTTGATATTTTGTTGAACAATAAGCTTACTAGTATACAAAAATAATTGATCGAAAAAGCCATTAAATCTATTCAAAATGGGAACATTGTGAGGGCACCCACCTAGATATGTCAGTGTCAGCCATGTTTTTCGAAGTTACGTGCTATTGCAGATACAAAATAGATCTCTGCATCGATTAGGAAGCCATCACTCGACTAGTGGATGAACTAAACGAGGAGACATGTTCTGGTGATTGAAAAGCGCTAACTAGTCGAATGTTGAAAAAAAGTGTAGATACGTGCTATTGCATTTCCACCGTCGACATGTTACATATATGTTCCGCGTACCTAAAATGGCATTTGCCATTTCATTTCCACTCGTCTCAGCAGCAATAGAAGCATTACCATCTAGCAGAAAAATGTATAATTAACGTCTCGCTCATTGTGACGTAGAGAAATCATAGTAGGCGGTCGAGTGATTTTTCTGAAATTTTCAATATGTAATAATGGCCGAATGCGCGCACCATATCTTACTTCCATCATTGCTACCATAAAGCACAATCAGAGTTTTGGAGATCAGACAAGAATTCTTTCAAGGATTAAAATTTCTGTACACTAATGAACTAAAGTATATTCAGTTTATCAGTTTATTTATTTAAGTAGGTACTAGCCTTTATAAATATTCTGAAAACTCTCTGGGTAGGTACTAACCTATCAAGTGTGTATTTGTCCCCTTTATAATGAGCTTATCAAGAGTTTGCAAAAACTGGAGCAATATTCAATTGTTTTAAAAATATCTTCAGAGGTGGTTCCAGCATTCAAAACAATTAAATGAGCAATAAAAACATAGAAATGTTGTTCTTTCAAAATGGAACTCACTATACAAGGTTATCCACGGTGGATGGCCTATTAGAAGTATCTGGAGAACGAAAAGACAGAACATTCTGAAAATTGGGATGCTCCGATAATTGAACATTCTCTATCCATCTGAAATATTTCCATCGATACAGTGTTGCCAATTTTATCAGAAACAACTAGTAACTTCGTTATTTTAAATGGAGCACCCTGTATTTTATTGCATTCTTAGATTCTTCCTGAAGAGCAGATTCCATCAATGCATCACACTCGGGGTCTAGCAGGAATGATTACAGAGTTATAGGGAGTTCAAAATCGAGATTTATCAATTTTAGGATTTTTTTGCGTCGAAACTATTCATTATCGATCAAAACGGCTTACATGTCCCTATCTCAACTTTCGATTCACTATCTACTGACATTTAATTGGAACAGATATAGGGTGATCAGAATTCTGAATCTTGAAGCACCCTGTATATTTTCCAATTAAATTCCAGTAGATAGTGAATCAGAAGTTAAGATAGCGACATGTGAGCCGTTTTGATAGATAATGAATAGTTTCAACACAAAAAAATACTGAAATTGAAAAATCTCGATTTTGAACACCCTATATCTCTGTAATCATTCCTGCTAGACCCCAAGTGTGATGCATTGATGAAATAAGCTCTTCAGGAAGAATCTAAAAATGCAATAAAATACAGGGTGTTCCATTTGAAATAACAAAGTTGCTAGTTGTTTCTGATAGAAGTGGCAACACTGTATGGATGAAAATATTTTAGACGGATAGAGAATGTTCATTTATCCAAGCATCTCAATTTTCAGAATGATCTGTTCTTTCATTCTCCAGATACTCCTAATAGGCCATCCACCATGGATCACCCTGTATGTTATATTTTTTCATATTTTCTTTGAGAAAATTTGTTCCTGGGAATTGTGGACCAACATTATAGGGATTCTTTTTCCTGTGCACCAAGTGATAAAAGTTTTTAGTTCCTATTCTAAATTGATAATTTTCAATCAGATTTTGTTTATTCTCAGTCTGAATTTGAATGTGTTTGATTGAGTCTGCAGTAGATATTCTTCAGTTTTTTCTGCATTTTTTGATGCAATTAATCACTTTGAATGTGTTTAATTGAGTCTGTAGTAGATATTCTCAAGTTTTTTCTGCATTTTTTGATGCTATTAATCACTTTCAATTCATTTAGTAGTACATTGTATTATTCCATTGTATTTGATAGCTTTTTTTAATATCTCATCTGAATTTCATGATAAGGATATGATCTCTGTCTTTAATAGTTGTGATCTGGGTTGTGATGACTACTATTAATCAATCAATCAACTTTATAATTCCCAAGAAATAACATTTGTTTATAGCAGGCCTTATAGCAGGGAACATGGTGAATACATAAATATATTTGAGAAAATAAAATGAAGAAGACAGCAGGGTTGGGCTGATTTAAATCAATTGATTTAAATCAAGATAAAAATCATGATTTAAATCGAGTGATTTTTTTTTTAAAATCCCAATTTAAATCAAAAAAATAATTTCGAAAACATTTATTATTTATTTGAATAATAAAAAATATTAAACTGAAATAAAATAGTAACACCCCTAAAAAACTGGATATTGAAACATATACATATGTATATCTTAATCATACTCTACATTATTTTATAATCATAAGTTTTCTGACATTGAAACTAACATAGAACATTTTAATTTTCATTATAATATTTAAAAAAAAAAAAAAATTCCCGTCTTTTCAACCCCCAGTCTATTTCTCAAATCTGAATGTACCAGCCCAAAGGTACTGAACACTCGTTCCACTGAGGTTGAAGAAGCAATAGCACAAAGAAATTGTTTTAACACAGTTATCTGTTTTTTGATTTCTGATTCATTGTCAGCTTGTGATAGCCAATTAGCCACCACCACCACCACTGAATTCCACTGACGTGTTTCGTAATTTCTTCAGAGAACATGATGTTTTTGAAGGGCAAAGAACGAGCATTAAATTTTATTAGTAATGGTAATAATCCACTATTACCATACATTTCTTTTATAGTTTTTAAAGCCAAATTTTTTTCATTGACAGTCAACCTGTACTTTTGCTTAGATGGGTCCATCATATAAGCTATCAAGTGGTAAGGGGTCAGTGCTTGTTCATATCGACGCTGAAATTTTTGAAGCTGTTGAATTGACAGATTTTGACTCGGATTTTGATCTTCTTCAAAGATATATTCTAAGTTTTTCCATTGTTCCACGGCATTTAAAAGAGTATGTTGACATGAATGTTGACAGGTACCTATATTTATCGCGCATTAAGACCAAAATCAAAAAAAAATCAAAAAAATCAAAAAAATCATGATTTTTTTATTTAAATCAATGATTTTTGATTTTTTTTTAAAAAATCAAGATTTGCCCAACCCTGGAAGACAGTAAAATAAGACTTGCACTCAAATTCAACTGAAAATGATTCTCAATTGACCCAGCTGTTAGGTACCCAATAGAAAACTATAGTAGTTGTACAAGAAAACTATAAAAATGAGATAAGATGTCAATATTACAGGAGTAGATGTTTCTTGAATTCTCTTTTAAATTTTTCAATCCTATTAATCAGCTTCAAGTTGTTTGGTAGTGAATTGTATTGTATCATTGCATTGTGATAGATGGATTTTTTACCAATATCTGATTTAATTTTCTTGACAGAAAATGATTTGGAAAAGTACATGCACAGATCTAAACCAACCATGTCTATGCTTGACCTATTGTTTTCAGACATGAAAATTGTATATTAGTTCAATTTTATAAAAGAGCTTACAAAATTAACCTTGGCACAGCTTGTAGAAATCTTTACCAACCATTCTAAGCTGTTTAGTGGAAAGCAAAGCTTCAGTAGTAATAAGTAAACATCATAGATCCATAAAATATCAGGTATTTATTTATGTAAATAAGGTACTTACCTGTGGCATTTAAAGAACTTAAAGTTTCTTTCTCTTTTTGTCCAATGCCAAAGTAGGTCACACAAGTCATAACAGGGGCAGAAAGGGAGAAAATCAAGAGATGTTTCCTGATCCTCTGCCTAGAAATTAAAATAATTACATTAGAAAAGATAAATTGGAGTGTCCATTTTCATTACACTTTACCTATCTATCCCATCATGTAGGAGGAATGTGACTAAACCAAATGCTGCTGGTGCTTTGTGCAGCATTATAGCCAAGAACACAATCATTTCTACATCTGCATGACTGGTTGTAGCAGCAGCTCCTAGAGCAACACCATCTGCAGCTGCATGAACCACCAAACCTACAGTGGCAGTAATGTTTCTGTCTGATGGATTCAGATGTTCATTTCTGCTTTGAGAGATCTGAAAATAATATGAATTTATAATTTCATTAAACTATTCATGAATGTAAAACTAACAAATAGTAGATATTATTGACCAACCTGATCAACTAGAAGCATGAAAATGAATCCAAGAACCAAACTAAGTCCTATAGCAGACAATGGGTCACTGTGCTCATGAGTATCTGATCCATTATGAGCATGGTGATGTCCTTCTTCAGGTATCAGTGCTCTCACACCTTCTGGGATTATGACTGTAAGAGCAGTACCCACCAAGAGGCCAGCTCCAAAAACTGATATTTTTTTCAGTTTATCCTGAAAAACAGAAAAATAATGTATTAACAATGAATAAGTTCAGTCTACAGACAGAAAAATCAATAATTAAAATACTATATTTGAGTTTTGCTGATATTGAATCAAAATTCATCAAGACATTGAACATAAAAATGTTTGAAACATTTTCTTCAAGTCATGAACAAATTTGAATGTTTCAGAAATTATATCAGCATCCAAACATGAAATTCACCTCAGTACCATATGGGCAAATCTTTATTCTCTACTCAAAACATGATCCATATATACCGGAAAAATTCATAAAAATACCTCCGAGAATGTGAAGAATAAAGGTATGGATCCTGCTAAAAAGGACCCAATCAGCATAACTAAAACTAATGCTATTAACATAACAGTTTCTTCCATTTTTGCTTATTGCTTGTGGTAAATGCAGATCGCAGATGGTACAGGGTACAGTGGTTTCACTAAACTACTATCCATGAAAAGTGTCTTCAGCTTTTCATTGTTGAGCAATTTTATTTGGCGAATGTGCTTACGAATCACAAACACATTTTTGCGTTATGTTGAAAAATTTTAAATAACATGTAACAAATTTCGAAATTTCACACGTATTCGATTCGAATTTATTTTCTTTTCCATCAGTAACCACAAATTCACAAATCACAACATATTACACAAATGTCAAACATGTGTCAAACTAATAATCTTGGGTGACAGATGCAAGAGCATGACATAAGAGGCCTGTTCGTTTGTCATTCTCACTCTGCCAAAAAGTGATGTGAGCAATATTTGATGTTCGTTTGTTCCAGTTTGTTCCGAGTCATAGATCACTTGAAGCAGGATTTATTTGCTTCACGAATTTTCAGGGAGCAGAAAAATCAAATCAGAAGTTGAATGACAAATGAAAACAAAGAAAATGGCGCAAAATGCAACAATAATGTATAAATATGGTGAAAAAAGTAAATTGTTAATATTGCCGAGGTAATACACGCGAATTCGGACATCATTCTCGAATAATGCCAACGGTTTTATCATTTTAATCACTTATTATTTTCTCTCGATCAACATCAACGATAGAATTTGTTTTGGAGTGTTTCTTTTCTTCTACCCTAGGTGGCGCTCGTGTCTAAACAACAAAATTCTCTTTGAAATGTTTACTTCAAGAAAAAAGTTGCTTTTGTGCAATTATAAGTGATAATAACACAGATTGTAGCATAATTGTCGTAGAATACATAATTTGTAGATTCCACGAACGGAAAATAGAGAGCCAACTTGCACTCACCGGCATAAAAACCCGGCAAAAAAATTAAACACAATCGATCGCCCTGTAACTTTTATAATTCTTTCCGATTTTGGTGAAATTGTAGATTTGAGATTCGGAATATTATCCTGAATTTCAGTTTCCAAGAAAAGCTGATGGCTTGATCATTATACAGGAAAAACAAAATTTACTCTTTCATCCTAACTATTTAACGCGCTGTGGCAAAAGTAATAAATAGTTAAACTTAGCTTCATTATGTTTTAGATTGGAGTATGATTCTTTTCCAACATAATAGTTCTTTATCAGAAAAATAATATAACACCGTGTTACATTCAATTCAATTTTGAAATTTATGTTACCAATTTATTCGAATGAAAAATGGTAACTCAATCAGTTGAAATTGAACCGGCAAGGAACATGTGTGATGTATCAAATGTAATTTTTTAATATCCACCTAGGTATCCCTCAAATGTGATTCTCAATAATTATTCAGAGTTATGAGTTGATACGAAGAAAACTGTATTTCATCAGGAATCCATGTTCCATCCCACTAGAGTTACTGGATGGTATTAGTTAGATCATAGATCTAATTATTGTGTAATTAGATCTATGGTTAGATAATATCCCACCACCCCGTGTAATTCAGATATCATCATCATGCATTATTATTAGTCATAGATAAATACTTGTTTCGGGAATTGATAGGATCGAAAAGTGACGCAACTAATATTAGTCATTCGGGACGAGTTGATGAATCGTGTCACTCGTGTCAGTCTTCTGTTAGATGCCATCGCGTACAGTCTACTTAAAAGTGCTCGTATCAGTTTCAAGCAAGAATCTAGTCAATATAGTGCATATCGTGAAATAGTATACATGGTTTTTCACAATTAGATTTAATTATACGTTTCTGGCAAACCAAGCAACAAATGAATCTGAAAATTTGATGGTATTTATAAATTTACACGAACTAGAAAGTAGTAGCAACTATGACTTTTCCAATGGAACACCCTGTATTTCATTGCATTTTTAGATTGTCCGAAGAGCTGATTTCATCAATGTATCACACTAAACTTGTGGTCTAGCAGAAACGATTACAGAGATAAAGGGTGTTCTAAATTGAGATTTTTTAACTTTAGGATTTTATATTTGTCGAAACTCATTATTGGTCAAAACGGCTTCCATGTCCCTATCTCAACTTTTGATTTACTATCTACCGACATTCCGATTCATAATTCTGATCACCCTATATATATGTTCCCATAAAATGTAAATAAATAGTAAATCAACAGTTAAGATAGAGCCGTTTCGACAAATTTAATAATGAATAGTTTTATTTCGACACAAAAAAATCCTTAAGTTGAAAAATGTTGATTTTGAACACCCTATATCTCTGTCATCTTCCATGTTAGACCCCAAGTGTGATGCATTCATGAAATCAGCTCTTCAGGAAGAATCTAAAAATGCAATGAAAAACTGGGTGTTCCATTTGAAAAAATCAAACTTGCTGCTACTTTCTAGTAGAAGCGGCAACGCTGCATCGTTTGAAATATTTTAGACGTGTAGATCATGTCAAGTTATACTAACCATCAAATTTTCAGATCCATCTGTTGCTTGGTTTGCCAGAACCGTCTAATTAACACTCATCGGAATCACCCTGTATGATTTAACGAGCACGGAATGATAGTCATTTTACTTAGAAATTAACATTCCGTGCGAGTTATACACTATGCTTTTTCTACGGCTGTCACAGATAGCACGAAATTTCTTCGGCTTGTAGCCATCTGATTTTCTCTTAAGTAATGCTCATCTATTAGACAGATCTGTCATTGCTTGAAATGTGACATTTCATGGAAGATGAGATTTTGTGAAATAATAGCAATTTCGTGTTATATAGCCGTAGAAAAAGAACTGTTTAAATTCTACAACTGTGTTTATTAAAAAGAGTGATAATACTAGGTACTGTGTCTTTCAAATACATCGTTCGGTATAGTGATTACATCGCGTTATTCTGTGCTGTGTCGGTGTTTTTGTAAGTGTTTTGAGAATGCATTTGTGGACTATATGCAGATTTCATACTGGTGAGTTTTTTAATCTTTCCTAACACGTGATAGGCACTTTGCGAGAAAACGAATCGATTTCTTACTCCAAGGAACAAAAATGAATTCAGCAATCCATAATGAGAATTTTAGTCTTCTCACAAGACCGAATAAGTACGCATTATATACAATGCTCTCGTGGAGTGCTGAATGAATTCATTTTCAGCCCAATTATAGATTCCTGAGGAATCTTCCAGTGTTATTATTTCATGCTCCTTCCCCATTAGGAGGAAAAAAATTCTAAAAATTTGTTTAGTTACTATGGTAACGATACGAGATTCAAACTTTTTCAATTGGTCGAAAATGTGAATGTGTTGAGACAAAAAAAACTAGATTTTATCAGAAATTAGAAAGTTGACCAAAAAAGTTCGCAATATTTAAGTTGAAATGATCGTCTCAAATGACCCTGTATATCAGTATAGTATATTCCATGTTCCATTCCACTTCACTAACTTCAGATATCATTATTATTATTAGTCATAGATTAATACTTGTTCGGAAACTGATAAGATAAGAAGGTGACGCAAATAATTTGTCATTCGGGACGAGGTGATGAATCGTGTCAGGTGTCATCAGTCTTGTGTTAGATTTCATCGTGTACGGTCGGTCTATTCAAAGTGCTCGTATCAGTTTCAAGCAAGAATCTAGTGCATATCGCGAAATAGTATACAGGTTTTTTCACGATGAGCGTTAATTAGAAGTTTCTGGGAAATCAAGCAACTGATGAAGTTATTGTGATATCAGATACGGAAATGAAATTGATGACATACAAAGTATCTCATTAAAACAAGGGCAACTAAGTAATTTTGTGGTATGGCCGTAGAAGAAGAACTGTCTACAACTTTGTAAAATAGTGATAATAGTCTATCGAATAACATCGTTCGGTATAGTTATTACATCGCGTTATTCTGTGTTGTGTTGGTGTTTTGTGAAGTGTTTCGAGAATTCATATGTGGACTACATGCAGATTTCATACTGGTGAGTTTTTCAATCTTTTCTAACACGTGTAGACACTTTGCGAGAAAATATAGTATATTGTGCAACAAGTGGGAAAAGTGCTTTTCCCCACATATTGCACACTATACTTTTTCTACACTTACACTTTCTGCACTTATTCAAAGAATCCGAGTAATGTATAGTTTATTGGTATTCATTTTATGATGTGGCACTATGCCAGATTGAATATTGTGACCAAAGGGTAGACGCCTTTCCTAGTTCCTCGAAGTATTCCAAAAAAGTACACTTTCCGAAAAAGATTTTATTTCTGTATGTTTTTTAGATTCCATAAATTTTTCGTTTATGCCAATTCATACTTTTCTTCTTGAAATTTCCGGAAACAAATTCTCGCAGCTTCTTCCATTATCTCTGTCTCTCTTTTTCAAATGGACCATCACATAATATATAATAATTTTTTTAAACCTTTATCGGAAGCTGAATATTGAAAATATATTACACGTTGGGTTTGTATACAGTGTGTGTGTCTCACTTCTAATGAGAGCACCCCTGTATCTTTCGTTATTGTAGAGTTGGGATTTGAAATTTACAGGAGCAAGGCATACCGGGTGACACAGACTCATAGTATACCCACCTTTTCTCATTTGATTTTCTAGTAATATTCCTGAAATTTGAAACATCGAATATGCTCACTAGAGGGCACTTTCCTCATTCTAGGAATTTTTCATTTCATATTCCGGATTTCCTGGAAATAACATCAACTTTCGATTTCCAAATGAACCACCCTCTATTTTATCCCATATAGTGGCCCAGACAACACAAGTGAATCCATTGGACAACCAATGGATGTCCAGCTATGGATACCCTGGACATCCATTGGATGGACGGCATTGTCCAGTATTTGTCCAATGGACATCCATTGGATAATACATGTCCAACAGTTTGGACATACATTGGAAGTCCATTGGCTTTCCATTAGACATCTGATGGATTTCCATTGGACATCCAATATTTGTCCTTTCCATTGGAAGTCTATTGGATACTCATCAGACATCCAATGGATTCCCAATGAAGATCCATTGTATGTCCATTACATTTGAAATACAATTGTATACACATCAGAACTCTAATGGATGGCTACCAAAAATCCAACTTATGTCCATTCCAATGATAAGTTTATTGGATACTCATCAGGAATACATTGGATTTCCATTGGATATCCAAATTTTGTCCAGCCAGAATGTAGAAATTAAAAAAAAGTTGTCCTTTGAGGGGATTGAACTCCGGACCCCGCTCTCGTGGATCACAACGCTAACCTCAGGACCACTGAGCTGTTATAAATATTATTGCAAGTATTTCGTATTCACGGTATTTCA